TGACGTATGGTCAATTCACTGTCCGATGCGGTTAGTCTGTTCTGAAAGGCTGTGCGCCTCAGTAACCACGATCACAACATTACGGTCACGGCAACTGACCAATAGTGGAGCAGATTTCACTTGAAATCACTCAATTGAGAGCAGGCAGTGATGAAGTCAAAATCTTGGAAAAACAATTTTGTTTCTCTTCTGTCGATTTTTTGGGGTTGGCTAATAAAAGGACTTACGACTTCGGACAAATTTGATGTTGCAGTTATAATGTCAGCATATCTATGGACGGGCTTATATTCGACACTATACGGTACTAGTCTATTCGAATCCGAATTCTTCGCCAGGTCCTGATGGTTTACACCTGCTGTTCCTCGATGAGGTGGCGGAGTTCATTGGTACACTTAGTTGTCCATTGGTTCGAAGCTTTCTTGAGGCAGGTCGTCTCCCGAGTAAATGGAAGGTGGCCACTGGGAAGCAGTGAAAAGAAGTGAATCATCAAGAACCTGTGAAGTACCGGCCAATTTGCATGCCAATGATCATCTGCAAGAACACGGAAAGTATTTTCAAACGGGCCTTGCATCTACACTTTGATAAATCGAACGTCATCTCCATTGCTCCGTACGCACACTCCTGCATTAGAAACCTACTTGTTGCCCGAAAATAGTGGGCGAAGTCAATGGATGCCGGCCGTCAACTTGATATCGTTTTTGACGACTTTAGCAAAGCGTTTGATAGGGCTCCACACAAACGAGGCGTAATCAAGCTTCGGCAGATTGGTATCGCCGGCAAATCTCTCGCCTGGAGTGCTGGTTTTCTAGAATGTGGATGACCGTAGTATAACAATAAAAACAACGTGTCGGTCGTATGCCGTAACGGCGATTCGCTGCCGCGCAAACACCACCAGTCGCGCGTGAACTGAGTATAACGTGAGAACGTCCGGCCCTACTCCTATTCGGACCAGTGATCTTATGGTCGCATATATATATTTGCAACAGTTTATGAATAGACAAAGCCATCAGAAATTATGGAACACAAGAAGGTACAGAAATTGTAAAAGAAAACACAACACAACACATAAAGTAAATGGTTTCGTCAGAGGGGGAGATACTACCCAGTTGTCCAAGCCGAAGTAGTTTGTGATCGCAAGTCAGGCGTGTAGATCACTCGGCCACCGGTCGACTGATCGTAGTGTGGGGATGAACGTTAACGAGATCATCTAGGTCTGTTCTTATGACCAAAGTTCCCATTTTGGGCCTGACCTCTTAAAAATGTTCATCAACGATCTTGAGGTGCTTCAAATTGACGGCTTGCTCTAGATGGATGGCCTCAAACTGATCGGAGATATCCAAGCCTGAAGATACTGACAATTTGCACATGATGCTGGATCTGCTGCACGATTAGCCTGTCAAGTGGCAAATGTCTATCGATAGTGATACTTGCTGTTCTCCCGATCAGTGCTCTAGAACCTTTCGGCTCCTACCACATTGGTGGTTTCCTGATGAAGAATATGGTTCGTGAAAAGGATTTGGGTGTAATTGTACCGCCAGAATGAAAAACAACCCATAACACGCTGCGGAAATTGACGTCTGCCAACAGGTTGCTTGGTACCACACGGTCGTTCTCCAAAATGACGCCTGAGACCATCGGACTGCTGTTTTCCACGTTTATCTAACACTGGAAGATGGATTGTGTTTAATCGAGGAAGTCAAGAGACGAGAAGCCAAGTCTGCGTCGGTGCTGCGTGTTTTAAGGGAGGTGCAATTTCTTTCAGCACAATGCAAACTGCTAGACACGGAGCCATAGTTGAAATTTATTAAGTCGCAGAGGTTACACATCCGCTACGATGTCGCTTTTTCCACCCGAGAAGGAAATGAATAGACAATCGCTATATGGGTAGCAAGTGTCCAGAGGAATGTTTCAAACAACGATTGGATAAACACCTGCTGAGTACGCCTGAATTACGCCGCTTTTGTTTCAGCCATAACGATTTTTAGGGTAACAAATTGAGCATCGGCAGGTGTAGTCCAGCCAATGAACAGGTGATAGAGCCGAAAAGGGTTTTCATTTCGCTCTCTGCAACTCACCATGGAACATAACAGTGAATTTAAGAAGTTTCAAGGGAAGATTCTCTAGAAGCACCCCAAAACCGCCTCTTATAAGTACCATTTTCTTGCCCATCTACCGTATATTATTCGCACTTGTTTTACTGCTCCATAGCTTCCGTCTATCTCCTCACACTCGTAGATTATGTGAGTTACAGTGCTGACACTCGCTCATCTCATGCATCATCCGTCAACGTCTTGGTGGCTCATCGCATAGGGTATGCTGTGTCCAACTTCGTTTCACTTCTGACATCCACTCTCAATTAGATGCAACGTACCACATTAGTATCCAAAATCCTATACCTTAGTAAGAAAATATAGTGAAATTAAAAGAAACAACGGGGACCGCAAAGACCGACAATTCAAATAGTGAAAAACGTAAGACATCCAGAATGGAGCGAAAAACACGCTGCCGTTGTTAAATCATCGGAAGGGCTAAAGACAGTCCCAAAAACAGTGGTGAAGCCACCTGCGCCAAGTAATGAATCAAAGACCCGTGGGGTTAATACACCCCGTCGTGGCGATTCTTTCACGGATAGTAGCGTTATATTCCGTAACGCGGCTGAATCCACTGCTATCCTTCCTGCTGATCGCATGTTGGACGACCTTCAATGGTTTCAAATGTGCGTAACAACGCTTCTTCCACCTAGTTTTCCAGGGGTTACTGTCAGGAAGCTGATTAGACTGGGGAACGTCCCAGTTAATGTACTAAACCCTCGACCGCGGCTACTTCGTGTGGCACTCTCTACCCCGGAAGAACGCAGTGTTCTCAAGCGGTTTGTGTTTAAGCTTAAAGGTATAAATATTAGCGTTCAACCGGACCTGCCGCTGGCCGATAGGCTGAAGCTAAGGGAGGCCATCAAGGACCACAAAACTAGGCGAGCGGCCGGTGAACAAGGTCTCCCGTTAGTGGGTTTTCGGGTAGTCAGCCGGCGGTCTTTTTCCGTCCTATCACTGCTCATTCTGGTAGCGCACGATCCAGGTCTGGATCTAACGAATACCTTCAGATAGTGTTAAGTAATGTGCGCGGATTAAGGAACAAGGTGTACGAGTTAGGTCTGTTTGTAGATGGGTCTCATCCCGATATACTCGCATTCACTGAAACGTGGCTGTCTCAGGACATCACGGATGGTGAAGTACATTTACCTAGCTACGCACTATTTCGATGCGATCGCTCCGCTGGTAGGCAGGGAGGGGGCATCGCTCTTTATGTGAGCTGTAAACTTGGCGTTTTGAAGACTTGCTTAGTTCAATCAGCGGACAAAACTGTTGAAGCTCTGTCGGCTGTTACTAGCACATTCTCGGCTCAGATTACAGTTGTAATTGTGTATAGAAGCCCTGGAAGCGTATCCAAAGAGGTATTTGACTTCATTCGCTCCCAGTCCACAAATAAGTGGTTGGTGATGGGCGACTTCAACCTCCCAGAGGTTTGCTGGGCAGATCTTTCTTGCGACTCAGCGTCAGGCACATTCGGTGCTGATTTGCTTGAGCTTAAGCTCCAAGTATCTTTGCATCAGTTCATTGACCTCCCCACTAGGTACATGGACGCCCAAGTACCGTCCATCTTAGACCTTGTATTTGATAAGTCACTCGATTTTGTTGGTGACATTACCTACGGACCTCCATTGGGTTCTAGTTATCATGTTTGTTTGCTCTTCAGTTGTACTCTGTCTAGACGCTACCAGAGTACTGTTGAGTCTCGCCCAAATATATGGAGCGCAGACTACCAATCAATGAGAGCCAAGGCTTCGGGTTTGCATTGTGAAATCTCAGACGACGATACTGTCCAGGTTGCCTGAGATAAATTTAAGTCCTACCTCACAGAGGTCTCTGCTCCCTTCATTCCAGTCACAAGGAGAAAGGAGGCACGAGCACTGTCACCCTGGATAGATCCCACTGGCAGGCATCTGCTCACAAAGAGGTCTGGATGTTTGCGGACTTACCGAGATGCTCCGTCCACCTATATTTATGACAGGTACCGTCAGGCTAGAAATAGGTGTAAGCAACACGTAAGGGATGCTCAGCTCAATTTCGAAAAAGTATTAGCGGATGAAGCTTCAGAGAATCCAGAAAGATTCTTCGCTTATGTCAAAAGGCGCTGCGGTTCGAACATGTCAATTCCAGTATCGATGCGTGATGACGGTACTCATGCGCATAAGAACTATGACAAGGCCTGCGTACTTAGTGGGCAATATGCAGCAGCGTTTGTAAGGGAAACTTCTTTGACAGGCGTTGAGCTGGTTGGCAGGATCCCAGAGGGTTCAGGACTATCTGAATTTATTGTAGCGGAGACGGAAGTTCGCAGGCTGTTACAAGGGCTGAACCCTTCTAAGGCCTCTGGGCCTGATGTAATTCACCCGAAATTGTTGCATGAGATGGCTGCTGAACTAAATGGACCGCTTGCTATGGTGTTTCAGAAATCGCTTGACAGCTGTGCATTGCCTTCCGAATGGAAGGAAGCTGACATCTGTCCCATCTTCAAAAATGGGGACAGGAGTCTGCCTGCAAACTACAGGCCAGTTAGCTTCACGAGTGTAGCAGTCAAACTCCTCGGGGGTCAGGGTGCGATACGGATGTTCCGTTTTAGATCCATCAAAAACTGAGCGCTTCATCAATTCCTGGATCAACGAGCTACACTAAATGGAACACTCAAGGGATTCTCCTACCGTTCCAGTCCATCTGAACTTGAACTTGATGCAGAAAAAAGGTAGTTATAGTTGCATCGGCTCCTAAGACATTGTACATTTTATAAATAAATATGTACATATGTGTATATATGTATGGATAAGTATATGTATACATATAAACATTAGGCGCGATCATCCCAGTACACTGCCGCATCAATAGGAAACTATTACATGAAAATTGCATAAAACGTAGCTCAACATAAATGCAATTATAACTTACTCTGGTTGCCGCATTGGCCGAGCTGCAATGTAATAATATCCCTCGGCATTAGTGTCTATAAAAGTCAAGTGTTCTGAGAAGCAATCCACGAAACGTCTTTCTGGGTCACGACCTTGTGATTTTGTGACCTTGGAGCCGCTCAGTTCAGTTCAGATGGGACTGGAACGATAGTCGAATCCCGTGAGTGTTCCATCTTGAGTGGATGGTTGAGCCAGGAATTGATGTAGGGCTCAGTTATCAATGGATCTAAAACGGTACACCCGTATCGCACCCTGGCCGACCAATTAATGCCCATGTTTCCTGCCCTAGCAGTCCTTGCTGCGGCAGTCACGTGAAGTAAGCAAAGGATAGGAAGAGAAATCGAAGGTACAGAATAAGGAAGTGCACTTAAATAAGAAGATAATGCCAAGGCGTAAAGAAATGTAGCGAAAAGAAAATCGAAATAAGAGGATGCGAGTTACTCAGGAAAATGGAATGGTTTCATGTTGCCACCCAAGAGCGTCAAATTGCCGCTCAAACCCATTAACCGTAGATTCCCTGATAATACTTTCCGGAAGAGTGTTCCAGCGGTCGATGACTCTGCGTGACAGCCAGGTTTTCAGCCCTAATCCGATCGGACCGCGGTTTGTCCAGCTTCAAGGAATGACCGCGTAGAACAGACAATCTAGCGGGACTGAATAGCCAAGATAAATCTGCACCAACCTTCCCAGTTAAGATACGGTAGGTTAGGATTAGGTCTCCTTTAAGCCTTCGGTAGTGCATTGAATGCATGCCCAAACTAAGTAGACGCTCGGGGTATGTCCGTCCCCGTAATCCCTAGACTAAACTAGTACCCACTCGTAAAACCCTCTCTAGCTCCATTTTGTCCCGGACAAGGCAGGGCGGACAAGTCTGGACGCAGTATTCCAGATGAGGCCGAACGAAAGCCGAGAACAGCGTCGTAAAGTTGCCGCCCGTCAAGACTCCGATAAAACGTCGAATTAACCACAACATGCGGAAAAATCTGCTTGCGGCCTTCTTACAGTTGTCGCCGGAGTGTAAAGCCGAAGAGTGTACGACGCCTAGGTCAATCTGGCTAGATACACGGGGGGAGTTCGACCCCACCGACCACGTACTTCGTAGGAGGACAACCTCCTCCAATTCGAAGAACGGAGCACTTTGCTTGATTTATGGGCAGTAACCATAAAGTAGACCAGTCCCAAAGCTTATCCAATGCTCGCTGAATAGCTTCGGAACCCCAAGGAACATCGACAATGTTCCACAGCTTCAGGTCATCAGCAAATAGCAGCGATGGTACCTCAAGCTCCGCGGGTAGGTCATTCACATAGATAGAGAACAGCAGCGGTCCAAGGACCGAGCCCTGCGGCACGCCACTGAGGACAGACTGCCTAAACGATAGGCCCCGGCCTACCCGTACACACTGTTCTCTACTCTGCAAGAAGGCAGTCACCCAATGAAGCGCGCAGCCAGATACCCCGTAGGAGGACAGCTTTTGCACCAGCCCCAAATGTGGTACCTTGTCAAATGCCTCCGAAAAACGACGAAAAGCACGTCCAGTATGTGGCCGTTATCCACTGCATCCGCCCAACTTTCGCGAGCCACCAGTAGATTTGACAAACACGAAAATCCCTTCCGGAATCCGTGTTGCATATTGCTAAGTAGATTAAATCTATTCAGATGACTCTCCAATGAATGTCTCACCAGTTTCTCGAGGAGTCTGACTACTACACTCGTGAAGCTAACTGGCCTGTAATTTGCAGGCAGACTCCTGTCCCCATTTTTGAAGATGGGACAGATGACAGCTTCCTTCCATTCGGAAGGCAATGCACAGCTGTCAAGCGATTTCTGAAACACCATAGCAAGCGGTCCATTTAGTTCCGCAGCCAACTCATGCAACAATTTCGGGTGAATTAAATCAGGCCCAGAGGCCTTAGAAGGGTTCAGCCCTTGTAACAGCCTGCGAACTTCCGTCTCCGCTACAATAAATTCAGATAGTCCTGAACCCTCTGGGATCCTGCCAACCAGCTCAACGCCTGTCAAAGAAGTTTCCCTTACAAACGCTGCTGCATATTGCCCACTAAGTACGCAGGCCTTGTCATAGTTCTTATGCGCATGAGTACCGTCATCACGCATCGATACTGGAATTGACATGTTCGAACCGCAGCGCCTTTTGACATAAGCGAAGAATCTTTTTGGATTCTCTGAAGCTTCGTCCGCTAATCCTTTTTCGAAATTGAGCTGAGCATCCCTTACGTGTTGCTTACACCTATTTCTAGCCTTACGGTACCTGTCATAAATATAGGTGGACGGAGCATCTCGGTAAGTCCGCGAACATCCAGACCTCTTTGTGAGCAGATGCCTGCCAGTGGGATCTATCCAGGGTGACAGTGCTCGTGCCTCCTTTCTCCTTGTGACTGGGATGAAGGGAGCAGAGACCTCTGTGAGGTAGGACTTAAATTTATCTCAGGCAACCTGGACAGTATCGTCGTCTGAGATTTCACAATGCAAACCCGAAGCCTTGGCTCTCATTGATTGGTAGTCTGCGCTCCATATATTTGGGCGAGACTCAACAGTACTCTGGTAGCGTCTAGACAGAGTACAACTGAAGAGCAAACAAACATGATAACTAGAACCCAATGGAGGTCCGTAGGTAATGTCACCAACAAAATCGAGTGACTTATCAAATACAAGGTCTAAGATGGACGGTACTTGGGCGTCCATGTACCTAGTGGGGAGGTCAATGAACTGATGCAAAGATACTTGGAGCTTAAGCTCAAGCAAATCAGCACCGAATGTGCCTGACGCTGAGTCGCAAGAAAGATCTGCCCAGCTATCCTCTGGGAGGTTGAAGTCGCCCATCACCAACCACTTATTTGTGGACTGGGAGCGAATGAAGTCAAATAACTAATTGGAGGGTCAAGTTTGGATTACACGTTGTGTGATTGGATTGCGACACGCAACCTCAATTTAATAGACTGTGATTCACATTGAAATGAACCGTAGTCACTGCGATCGCTGGGACCGTATTCAAAGTTGGCTGCTATTCCAATGGTCCCGGGTTCAAATCCTGCTGTCTCCACCTGATGAGATGAAAAATTACATCGAAACGCGTCGTGGTTGTGCAGTGTTTTCGGGTGGGCAATACCCAATTTCCATCTACTTTGAATACGGTCCCAGCGATCGCAGTGACTACGGTTCATTTCAATGTGAATCACAGTCTATTAAATTGAGGTTGCGTGTCGCAATCCAATCACACAACGTGTAATCCAAACTTGACCCTCCAATTAGTCATCTACCGTTGTGACAAAATGCATTGCCCATCGTGACCCGGTAGCCAAAGGGGTAGTAGTGTTGGCTGCTATTCCAATGGTCCCGGGTTCAAATCCTGCTGTCTCCACCTGATGAGATGAAAAATTACATCGAAACGCGTCGTGGTTGTGCAGTGTTTTCGGGTGGGCAATACCCAATTTCCATCTACTTTGAATACGGTCCCAGCGATCGCAGTGACTACGGTTCATTTCAATGTGAATCACAGTCTATTAAATTGAGGTTGCGTGTCGCAATCCAATCACACAACGTGTAATCCAAACTTGACCCTCCAATTAGTCATCTACCGTTGTGACAAAATGCATTGCCCATCGTGACCCGGTAGCCAAAGGGGTAGTAGTGTTGGCTGCTATTCCAATGGTCCCGGGTTCAAATCCTGCTGTCTCCACCTGATGAGATGAAAAATTACATCGAAACGCGTCGTGGTTGTGCAGTGTTTTCGGGTGGGCAATACCCAATTTCCATCTACTTTGAATACGGTCCCAGCGATCGCAGTGACTACGGTTCATTTCAATGTGAATCACAGTCTATTAAATTGAGGTTGCGTGTCGCAATCCAATCACACAACGTGTAATCCAAACTTGACCCTCCAATTAGTCATCTACCGTTGTGACAAAATGCATTGCCCATCGTGACCCGGTAGCCAAAGGGGTAGTAGTGTTGGCTGCTATTCCAATGGTCCCGGGTTCAAATCCTGCTGTCTCCACCTGATGAGATGAAAAATTACATCGAAACGCGTCGTGGTTGTGCAGTGTTTTCGGGTGGGCAATACCCAATTTCCATCTACTTTGAATACGGTCCCAGCGATCGCAGTGACTACGGTTCATTTCAATGTGAATCACAGTCTATTAAATTGAGGTTGCGTGTCGCAATCCAATCACACAACGTGTAATCCAAACTTGACCCTCCAATTAGTCATCTACCGTTGTGACAAAATGCATTGCCCATCGTGACCCGGTAGCCAAAGGGGTAGTAGTGTTGGCTGCTATTCCAATGGTCCCGGGTTCAAATCCTGCTGTCTCCACCTGATGAGATGAAAAATTACATCGAAACGCGTCGTGGTTGTGCAGTGTTTTCGGGTGGGCAATACCCAATTTCCATCTACTTTGAATACGGTCCCAGCGATCGCAGTGACTACGGTTCATTTCAATGTGAATCACAGTCTATTAAATTGAGGTTGCGTGTCGCAATCCAATCACACAACGTGTAATCCAAACTTGACCCTCCAATTAGTCATCTACCGTTGTGACAAAATGCATTGCCCATCGTGACCCGGTAGCCAAAGGGGTAGTAGTGTTGGCTGCTATTCCAATGGTCCCGGGTTCAAATCCTGCTGTCTCCACCTGATGAGATGAAAAATTACATCGAAACGCGTCGTGGTTGTGCAGTGTTTTCGGGTGGGCAATACCCAATTTCCATCTACTTTGAATACGGTCCCAGCGATCGCAGTGACTACGGTTCATTTCAATGTGAATCACAGTCTATTAAATTGAGGTTGCGTGTCGCAATCCAATCACACAACGTGTAATCCAAACTTGACCCTCCAATTAGTCATCTACCGTTGTGACAAAATGCATTGCCCATCGTGACCCGGTAGCCAAAGGGGTAGTAGTGTTGGCTGCTATTCCAATGGTCCCGGGTTCAAATCCTGCTGTCTCCACCTGATGAGATGAAAAATTACATCGAAACGCGTCGTGGTTGTGCAGTGTTTTCGGGTGGGCAATACCCAATTTCCATCTACTTTGAATACGGTCCCAGCGATCGCAGTGACTACGGTTCATTTCAATGTGAATCACAGTCTATTAAATTG